GCATTTAAAATTTCATCTGTAGTAATCTCTTCATTCATAAGTTTCTGTTGATCAAGTGTAAGTTTATATATAGATGAAGATTGTAGATATTTATCAATATCTTCACTCTTTATAATTTCTGAAGAATATAAATGAGAATAAAATTCCACAAATGCCTTTTTAATCATTTCTTGTTGATAAATCTCTCGATCTTTAACCACAATTTTAGGTATAAGTCTAGCTTTTTGTTTCTTGCGTATTTGATAGGCCAACCATCTCCCCGGTTTATTTGCATTAGCAAATGTATTATGTTTAATATACTTCAAATTGGTGGCCATCTGATCAGCAATTAACAAGTTAAATTGATCTTTAAGCATTTTAATAGATGTTTTTAAATTAGAATCTGTTGGTCTTTGCAATAGTAGTTTTTCTTTAATCCCAATTTCTTTTTCCAAATGTAATCTAGTCTGTATTTGTTTACGTTTATGTGCATTGTTCATATGATCATTCCCATTTTGTATTCCAGTGGGTAATGTGAATTAAAATGCAAATATTGATCTGTGTTTATTTTTATCAATATAAAAGATAATATAAAATCATAAATATAGCTAGAAACAAACAGGAGGCTTAAAATTTGGTGTAATCACTGAAGATCTTGGATGTTTAATCAAGTCAAACTCTTCTTAGCAGAGTTCTATAAAATTTTGTTGGCTATTAAGCAAAACATGGCAACATGGTAAGACAGTGCATCACTTTGATCAGGTAAATGATAATTGAGCTTAAAAAGAATCAACACAGCTTGGTATTGAGTTTATGATGATGTGATAAATTTGCATTGCAGATTACAACTGACAGTAAAGAAGCAAATGGGCTGTTCTTTCAATAACTCCTAATATACAGCGACAAAGGCACTGATTATATGGTATGTTTTGGTATCTCCCTTCCAAGATTGCAGTTTGCAGGCCATCACAACATACCAATATCTTTGGAATTTTGATAAGGGGATAAGACATCTAGCAGTTTTATGACTGGGAACTCACCCAGCTAAGAATACTCAGTAGGAATAGGATGTGCTTATTTTGTCACTCTATCTCAAATATTTGTTGTTTAAGGCAGGAGTCCCTAACCTGTCCGGCTATGCAAATTGGAGGGAGGATGGTTCTGCACAAATGGCAGATGTGTGTGCTTGCCCACTGCTTGCACAAATGGAGCAGCACGCACATGCTCTTGCCTGCTGCTTGCGCAAGTGGAATTGCATACACATGCACATGCCCACGATCCCATGATTAAGATGCTTCCTGGACAGGCCATACCCCATTATTTTTAATGCATGAGGATGGAAGCCACAATAATGCAGCTTTTCCTCCAATTCTTTTTTTTATTTAAAGATAAAGTGATCAGCTAACACATATACTGTAGGTTTAGGCCTAAGCGGAAAGTAACAAGTTTGGCTAAATTCGAAGTTATTAATCCAAAGATCTTTCACCTCTGGTTTAATAAACAGTACCTGTTAATTTATGTGCTGCACCATTCCAACTGGATTCACTTTCCATATTCACTTCTTTCTTTCTTAGCTTTAAATCAGGCAATTCACTTTCAATCTGCTAAGAACAAAAGATGTTGATCTATCTATATTTATGCTTTTTTTCCTAAATCCCAAGTTCAGCTTTCTACACAAGTTTTAGCTATCTTGTAACAGCTGCTTAACTTGTAATGCTGATTTTTTAACGTGGTCATATGCACCTTCACAAAATGTTATCTGAAATATTGTGAAACTGAGATTTTTTTTTTTTAGGGATAATCCTGTTATTTTACCCTATGTCAGGACTCAGTTAGTAGCTAGAAGATTCTAGAATCTAGACTACCAGGTGGATTCATCTGAACAGGAGAACAAGAATGAAGAGACTGTATAAAAGGACCTGTCATCAATAGACACTATGAAGACAAGAGATAAATCCAAGTCTTCATTTCAAGAAGGAATTACTAGAAAAGGGTATGAAAGATTGGAGTAATTTATTTGCTTGTGCAATGTTCTGTTCCAAATATTGTAGGTTTTTATGATAAGATAATATCCTGACTATATGTCCTTGCACATGCCGCAAAGTTTCCTCATCTTCAGCTTTGCTAAAACAGAGCAGGATGCAGAACAAGGATTTTTTTTTTTAAAAAAAAAATATTTAAAAGGAGAGTTCAGTTGAATATTACAAGCCAGGGATCCCCAACACCTGGCCATGGCCCATTACCGGGCTGCAGCCCATTCAGAACCGGGCTGTGCAAGTGCGCACACCTGCAGTACCACTTCCGTGCGCAGCGGACAAGCAAGTGTGCACAGCTCCATTTGTGTGAGTAGTGGGTGTGCATGCCTGCTGCTTGGGCAATGGATCTGCATCCCCTCTCCCTCCTGCAGGTCCACAAAGCCAGAAAGGTTGGAGACCACTGTTACAAGCAACTGTCTAATGCAATCTACCTAAAACTCTGCTTTGCTGGAGATTTTCAAACAGAAGGTGAATAGCCACCTGTCAGTAATGGTTTAGTGATTTCTAGTACTAAACAGAGGGATTGGATTAGATGTTGTTCCATTGTTTACATACTGTAATTTCATGGATTTAACTGAGCTCCTTGAGATAATTTAGGAGTCTGGCAGCATGTTTTTTGATAGCACCTTTTCAGTCTAATCAAATTTATTGGAAGGTGCAAATGTATGTGAACTACAGCTCATTTCTATATCTGTTTGCAGTAGCTAAACTGATGTGGAGATTGAAATGAATGATGACAGAAAAAAAGAGGGGGGAAGAGAGGGTAGCTATTTAACTGCATATGAGAAAGATAGATTATGAGAGAGAGACAGAGAGAGAGAGACAAACAGACAGACACAGAGACAGAGAGAGACAGACAGACCAAGGACAGTTATATAAAAACAGATATAATCATTCCACAGCCAGTTATAATGAAAAGTGATATAGTCTTGATCTTGTGCATTACAAATAGATTTTTATTTACAGAACCCAACTAAATGAAGAATGGAAGAAAATAGCAGCTTGACAAATTGTCAGCCCCACTATGTAGATCAAACCAAGAAATTACCACCACCAGAAGACTAAAATTACTTTTATTAATATTGGCTATAGAAACATAATGTTGCAAGTCTGTGCTTTACTCTCCACCACAATCCCTTCTATATTATGTGAATTAGTGAGGTATGAAAGGATAAGCCAAGACCTGTTCTCTTTCATTCAGTTCTATTTGAGTAGAGTAGCCATCCAAGAAAGGGGAATTCCTTGGATGGTTACTCTAATCAAGTAGAATTTAGATAACCAACTGTCTGGAATGTTTTATTTGAATTTCTATAAATAGCATGGGGTTGCACTTGATGACCTAAGTGCTTTCCAAATCTAAAATTCTATGGCAGTAAGTTTAAACATTCACAACATCATTTCAATCAAAGAATGTGCTGGAAATCGCCATCAGTTGAAGGGATTTTAGGTCATGTTCTTACAAACATAAGAGGCCATTAGCTCAAAAGTAGCAATGTTCCAAACATCCTGACTATAAAAGTGGATTAAAAAGAGAAAGCAAATAAAGAAATAGTTCAAAGAACTGAATATAAAAGAAAAATTAAAAAAAGATGCTGAACATTATCAATTCAATGGCTGCTGGAAAAGAACCCCTTGGTCAGTCAAGGGGGGGAGTCTTTTTAAAACTGTGGAGAACTGAAGAACTACATTGGGCTTGACTAAGGTAGAACTGCAGAACTGAAGATAATATTCTACATTGGGCTTGACTAAGGCAGAGTGGAGCAGGATAATCATCAAACTGGTAATGAAAATATGGCTTAAATCTTATGGGCTAATGTGGGTAGCTAGAAGAAAACGTATTTGTAAGTTTCAAGGAAGAAAGTAATTTAAGCAAAACTTGCTCAGTAAGTACAAATTCTCAAAGCCCATTTAAACAGAAGATTTCTGATATTATTGTTAGTGACTCTGTTTCCAAATCCCTGATTTCTTTTAACAATAATAATGGATATACACAGGAGCAAAATGATCATATTATACTAGTATTAGAACACATTACAATAGATTTTTCAAATCTTACAAAAATTACCTTTCTAGTGAGACAATTCAGGAAATTCTCATCTTTATCAAGGTCATGAGGGTTTGACGTTGCATGTTCTACTATAAATACTTTTGTTACAATGGCACTTTCTCTGTAATCTCTGTAATTTAAGAATCAAGAAATATTATTCTTTCTTTTTATTACTGTAGGCTGCCTAAAGTAGCTCCATGATGGTTTAGGTAGCAAATAAGTTTAACAAAATAAATAAATTAGAGAAGACCTACATAACGTATAGCCTAAAAAAGAACAGCACTTCAGTCACATATAAGTAACTTAACAGAGATGACAAACCTTATTTTTTTACTGGCTCTCTAATATTACATAATGAAAAAAAAATGGTAAAGACAGTCTCAAATTGAAATTGGTTTTCTTGGCAAATATAAAATGGTGGCTTGTCATTGCCTTCTTCCAATTATTTATAGCTCAAGAATTTCCTGGTAATCTCCTATTTATTAACTTAGCTCCTGAGTCCTGACAAAGCAACTACCAGCTGCTGAGAATGGCACAGATAAAACAAATAAACTAATATGTTTAATATCTTAACATATTTATAACCAACCTTTTGATTTACCACAACCACATAGAATAGAATAAAAACTTTATAGTCACTTTAAATGTAGACTAATCAGCATGCATTAAAATGAAATTTCGTTGCATTCAGCTCTCAAAAAATACCATTATGCATATACTCATATACACACACTCATGACACAGAGAAACATCACAGTCTAGTTTGAATGTATACATATACATGGCAGATGGCATAAGGAACAAAGCTGTTACAGAATCTAATAGTTCTGCTCTAAATATTTTGAAATCTCCTCCCAGAGGGGAGCAACACAACCAGACCATGAAGTGGGTGTGTGGGGTCTCTAACAATGCTTTGAGCTCTAAGTACATAGTGCTTATAAGCAGTATCCTGAATCACAGAAAGCGAGCTTCCTATAATCTTCTCAGCTCTCCTTACCACTCTCTTAACTACATTTTTAAATATCATCATTCAAGTTATTACCATGTTTGCATTATACAGTATAGTAAGTGTGATTTAGCGTTAATCATGGATAAAGTACTAACCCATCAAAATCACTCCAGATAATACAGCATACTACTGTATAGCTGACTCCAACTTGCCAATTTCTTTCTTTGGGTGATATCCCAGCCCCCTTTGTAGTGGATGCTCAGTAGGCAATCTTTTTTTCCAAAACAAATGCAGAAAAAATATAGAAGGCTTGACTGAGATCAAGGCTAATGCACATGGAATGGAGTAAGTCTCCCTATCACCATCTTGTGTCCAGATTCATATCCCACCACATCTGTGGGTTTGAAAACAAAACTAAATCAGCAAAGATACTGCTGCAGGAGTAGCTCAACTATGTAATTGCTCCTCCTCTCATGTTCTGTACTCAGAGCCTGCTGGAAGGGGGAATTAACAAATTTCAGTTTGGATTAGGAAAACATAAACAAAATCATGGCCAGTGGTTTCAGTTAAAGTGGACCATAAAGTGAAATGATCTAAATTCAGTTGGCAAACAAAGTTTAAGAAGCTTCTTTTGAAAGACAAAGAGAAGGGATTGTGTAAAGTTCACGACAGACAAAAAAAAAGTGTAAAATATAAATCCTTTTTTTTAAGACTTCTGGATTGCCATTTTTCAGAATAAAAGTCTGTCTCAAAACACAACCCTGAATTATAAGACTAGATAGGATTTACATATACTTGTTTGGCATTGCTAAGGTGAAGACAAAAATACCACTATTTCATCAAAAAGAATGAAAACTTCCAGAAAAATGCTGCAAATTGAACAACAGATCTGAAAAATCATGTTTTAATTATGACATATATAGGTGATTAGCACTTTTGTAATTGTTCCTATAAAAATTATTATTCTAACATAGAATTTAAGAAATCTTGATGTTATCGTTGATACCTACTATAAATAACAGGAGTTAACAAAATATAGAATCAGAAAGTAGCATCAATAATCAATAATCAGTAAGGAAAATCTCTACAAAATAGCAATTTAGCAATAAGGCTTTGTGTATTAACATAGGGTGATCAGGCAAAGAATATTTTACGGAAATGATTTCCTATGAGCACCACTACATGTATACACATTCTTCTTCCAATATAGTAAAACCTGCCTCACTAAATATCTCTTCCATAAAAAGCAAAACAAATTATGCATGTCAAAAATCTCATTTTTAAGCTCTGAACAAAGGAAAACTCAGTTCTACATTTATTCAAAGTAGGAATTACAAGTCCTCGAGATACAGCTGTAATGGAGCCTTCCCATTATAGTGGCACGTTGCAAGGCCTTTAAGCTAAACGGCCTTGTTTAATAACACTTACCCCTGCTCTCCCTGATGTGGCCATTAAATAAATTTGTGGATTGTTAAATAGAGCTCAAGGTTCCTCAGGGGTCCCTAGCCCACCCAAAGCCTCCCCCACTACCTGAAACAGCCTGTCCTCTGCTTCCCATCCCTGGGGTCCCCACACTCCTTTTCCCACTCCCACTGAAGTCCTGCAGGCCTTAAGGTCCACTTTCCACCCCACCAGACCAAACACCCTTCTCATCACTTACCGTTTAAAGAGGTCTTCCAGAGAACTGGGATGGATTGCTTCATCGCACTGAAAACACTTCGGCCACTGAAAACATTGCAGCCACTTCTGGAATTGCGCCATGTAGCTGAGGGACCAAGCAACCCATTCTGCTTCGCTAACATGGTCTGTACAGCCTTTCAGAGACTTCTATTTCTGTAGCGTTGTGCAGAACCCATTAAGGCAGCAATCACTCCATTTTGCTGCCTTAATGCGTAGCACTTCACAAAGCTTCTGAAAGGATGAATGGCCTGCCCTTCTTCTGCAACATGAGGTCTGGAAAACTTCAAAAGGTAAGTATGCGATAGGTGATAGGTGTGTGAAGAGCAGCCCCAAGCACTGCAGTTTCCTGGAGGGAAGGGACGGGGAGAGAGAGGCAGGGGGCACTACAGCATCCCTGTGGTCAGTTGTAAAGATGAATGATGATGGGGGCACTGCAGTGGCCATAACTTCAAAACAAGGCCATATATAGCTTGGGTGGACGTCTTTCAATAGCCATAAAGTGACTGTTCATATTTCGAAGATTACCTGTACATAGTGAAGATACTTACTTTGTGACTGCCAATGCCTTGATGGTTATTTTCCCATGTGGTAATGTAATTGGTTTCTTATACTTAAAAGTATTATGATGTCTATAATCAAACCTCTTAAAATATTGCGGTTTACTTCCATCAATAGTAAAATATATGGTCACATCACGTGTATCTGAAAGACAGTAATACGGAAATCCACATCATCTCTTTCAATATGTAACATTATACATTCATTTACAAAAACAAAAAACAAAAAACAGGGCAAACATTTATGTCACAGATGTCCAAAAAGAAAAAGAAATTATAGGCTTTGGAAAATAGTTTGGAAAATATAGGAGAACTTACTGGAAAGTTAAGCATTTGCTAAATAATAATGTCTAATAATACCTAGAGACAATGTGGTGTAGTGGTTAAGTGGTTGCATCTTTTTTCATAACTTTCTTGTATCTTGTGATTTTTAAATCCACTTTCAGATCAGTCTTAGTCTTGCCTGGTAAAACTTGTTCTTTTTTTAATAACAACTTTTAAATCCAGTCTCTCTATAGAGACAGACATTCTTAAAATTAACTTTTGGGTCCATTGTTTAAAAATACCTTTCAATACATTGAATGTTAAAGTATTTTGCTCCATTCTGTATTAATAAATAAAATGTAAGTGTTCTTTTTTATTGTAGTTTTTAGTTCCTTCTAATTTCCTCTAGTCCAACTTTCAAAGTCTCATTCTGTTGTGTTTTTAAAAGAGAATTCAACAAAGGCATTTTCTCATGAGAATAATTTTTATAATTAGTTTCAAAATCTTATTTCAAATCCATATGGACCCTTAATTCCTTAGTAATTTTTTGAAATCAAAATCCTAATCACCCCTTTGTTGCTTATTCCAGAAAGATGTTTCCTCTAGAGGCCTTTGAATTCCCGACAACCCAATTATTTGTTTCACTAGTTTTATCCAATGGTTTCTAAAAGCAGACTGTCTTACTTATTCTCTAACAATCTTCTGTCAGTTTCATAAAAATCTTCAGATCATAATTTTACATCATGTTATTTTCTGTCCTTGTTTTAGTGTTTTCAATATCATTGCTGAGTTGTTGGAGTGGTTGTTTGGTTTTACAATAATATTTTAAGATATTAATGTTTATTTAGTATTATTCAGAAATCTTTAAATGAAATATTTGAAATAAGTATAAAGTTGTGTGTATGTGTGTCAGGCCTGCCATCTTCAGCATCTTTCGCTTTGCTGGCATCCTGCCATAAAATGTAAGGGATGAGAGAGGCAATTGGGAAAGTAAGGAATAGGCATGGGAATGAGCAGGAAAAGAGGGGGGATGACAGGGTGACAAGAACCAGAAGTGTTGATCAAAGATGAAGCCTGAGAACGTTATGTGAATCTATAACAGAGAGGCACCAACCTTCAAAACCATTCCCAAAACATTAGAAAGAGATTTTATTGGACACTGACAGACTGGCCAAGGGGGGGGAGGCCCAATGGGAAAGGAAAAATTGTAATATTTGTGCGGGAATACTCAGATCCAGCTTTGCTTTTGCTGTAACCACTTGACTTTAGTAAAAGAAGCTTTCACTTCAAGAAATGGAGTCAACAGTCTGAGTCAGGGCCAGGCTGACATGTATATGCAAATAACTTCAGCATACAGTATGTTCTCACATACCTGATTTCATTTCAACAAGAGTATTTGTATCTATTTCATGTTTTGCTCTGCTACTTGAAATTCGAAGTGGTATAATCTGAGGTGTTAAAACAGATCCAGCAGTCATTATTTCACCAAAAATTAGGTTTCTAAAGAATGAAAAGCAACATATTTTAAACATATCAATACAGTCATAACTAAATACATAAATCTATCCATTAAAGTCAGTAGCCATTCCATGATCCTTTTCATATGCACCAGGACGGTACCTAGTTACATAGTCATTGTTACTTGCTTTCGTTCATGTTGGAAACACCTAAGGCGCTTCCTGGTTGAAAGGATTAACCCAGAGGTCACCAGCCTTTCTCAATTGGCAGACCGAACCATCTTCCCCCCTCCCTTCCGTAGAATGGCAGAACCCTCAGCAAGGAATAAAAAGAAATAAAATAGATCTCTCCCCTCCCAAGTATAGGAATGAGTTCTGACATTCTTGATGCAAGATTGTATAAAGGGAAATTGCAATATTTAGTGCAGTGGAAGGGATATCCATTTTCAGAAGCCACCTGGGTGAAGTGTACTGATGTGAAAGCTGACAGACTTATACGTAAATTTTATGATAAACATCCGAACAAAATGAGGGGGGATTCTTAACTTTTGTTCTTTTGTTTGATTTGCAGGATTTCTCCTTTCTTTTAAGGGGAGCCAAATGTCAACAATGTGACAAACCGAACTGAAGCCATTTTCATTTTGTCTTCGTTGCCACATTTTAGTTTAGAGATATTAGATGAAGGAAGAGGGGTGGGGGATGTGTAGTTTTCAGTTAGCCAAAACAATTCATATGTGTGAGAATCAAGGTCAGTGCTGATAACATTTTGGCGGGCTGAGAGCTGGGAGGAGAGCCCGCGTTTTGTAACAATTGGTGAATGTGATTTATGACAGCAATTTGGGGTGGGAATTGCAATAGTATCTTTGTAAGGAGGAGGGGATTTTTAGTCTTGGGTTCACCTATGTACATGCTGATATTTTATTTCCTAAATAAAATGTTCTCTAAGGAAGAAAGTTTTTCCTTGAAGTTCTTTTAAACAGTTTTCATCTATCAGAACCATGACATTTTGTTTGGCATAGTTTTTAATTACCTTGTTCATTTTTATGTGTTCACAAATATGTCTATTTTTTGTTTATTTTGACCTGCATTCCTGTTCTATCTCCCATGGTGCTTTTGATAAGTTGGACTTTTTCCCCCTTTAGCATGAAGACAGATGCAAAGAAAGAATTAAGCAGTTCCACTTTCTCCCTACTGCCCATTACCATCTTGCTAACTTTTCCCATTAATGGACCTATTGTTTCCTTGATTATCTTATTCTTTACATATTGAAATAATTGTTTTGGTTATTTTTAGCATTTATTGCAAGTCTTAATTCATTCTGAGCTTTAGTTTTTCTGCTTCCAACCTTGCAGATTCAGACTACATTTTGTTGTTCTCTTCTAATTATGTGTCCCTCTTTCCATTTTTTATACTTTTCCTTTTTGTCCCTCAGTTTGTCAGTGAGCTCTTTATGCAACCATGCTGGTTTTAACTGGGGCCTTTCGCCCCTCCTTTCTCTCTGGTACTGTGTTTCATTGGGCTTTTTGTAATCTCATTTTTTCATATGTCTTAAGCATCATGAATTGTTTTTCTCTTTAGGATTCCCATCCACAGAATCCTTCTAATCTCTTAAATTTGTTGAAGTTGGTTCTCTTGAACTCTAAAACACTAGTTTGACTTTGTTCAATTAGCTATGCCTGCATTATGTTGAATTCTAGTATGATATGTTTATTCCCCAAAGTTCCTACAACTTCCACCTCTTTAATCATTTCATGCCTATTAGTATGAATAAAGTATTAATCAAACTAATATGACTAATATGAATATAGCTGACCTTCCAATTCCCTCCTCTACCTTTTTGGATGACAAAATTGCCAGGTAGACATGTCTGATCTCACTGTTTGATCAGACATGCAACTTATTTGATCTTCCACTTGCTGCAGAGTTAGTTTCCCACTTAGGGTAGTTAAAGTCCCACATTACTATAGTGTATTTCCTGCACACACCTTAGCAAAGTGATTAGCAAAAATCTATTTCCTCTGCTTGGTTGGGTAGCCTGTAATATATGCTATAGCAATGTCATTTCTTTTTTCTCTAACATTCACCCAAATGCGTTCAAGAAGGCTTTCTTCCTTGGTTTTGTGTATTTTTCTAGACGCGTATTGATTTCTTACATGTAATACAACTCTTCTTTTTTGTTGGATCTGTTTCTATCAGGTCCCCTTTTGGGTGCCCTGCCATTCTGTTGGAGGGGGGAGGAGGAAGTTCCGGGGTAGCATTCTTTGCAAGGTTGGGGTGAAGTTCAATGGAGACTCCCAGCAGCTGGAATTCTTCCTGGCCCATGTCCTGACCTACATGCAGGAATATGGACCAGAAATCCCCACCGAGGGCGCCAAGAGGTGGTGTGTCATACTGGCATTGGAAGGAGCAGCAGTTTATTGGATGGTGACTCTCCACAATGCAAATGCCCCTGAACTGAGGAACTTCGATCGTTCATGACAGCGCTCTGCTGCCGTTTTGAGGATTCCCTTGCTAACTGAAAAGCAAGAGACTGCACTAAAACAGTAAGGGAGAGATGCAGAGCTGAGGAGGAGTACAGAGAGGAGTTCCGCAACCAGGCATGCCAACTTGACTAGCCAGAAGATATCCTTGTCAGCTGTTTTAAAGATGAGTTGAACGATGAACTGTACAACACTTACGTGGCAAGGAGGCCCCCTGCAACTCTGCATAACTGGCATGTGGTAGCTGAGGAAGTAGAGATTGACCAAACCTGAAATAAATATTGCACAGCAAGGTCCTGGAAAAGACCCCCTCCAGAGAAAAGGGAAATGACCAAACTCCAAATTTCACAAGGCAGATCCACCACCTGCTTTAAATGTGGCCAGGAAGGGCGCCGAGCAGCAGAATGTAAAACTGGCCATCCAGCCAAGAAAACAAGCCCAAACCTCGTGGGAAAACCCACCAAGGTGCAGCCATAAGCCAAAGAAACAGCACTGAAAGGAATGGAGATTATGGAGTTCACCCCATTGCCCAAAAGAGCAGAGGGAACTCTGACCCCAGCAGACGACAACCAGAGATTAACGGACACTGACTCCAACAACAACCCTCTGGTAAGTGACCTGGTCATCCCAGTGACTGTTCCTATAGAATTGAGTTTCCCTGAGTCAGGGTTGAAAGCTAATCTAAGATCCCTACTAGTCTCGACCAGCATTGGTCGAGAAACTGGGAATCCAGCTGAGCCAGTTAAAGGTCTCGGTAAATCCAGCATTGGTCGAGAAACTGGGAATCCAACTGAGCCAGTTAAAGGTCTCGGCGGCATTCTGTCAACTGGACAGTTCTGTCATGGGAGGCATTCCAGCGACTTTTGCCACCGTACCTATAGGGATGCAGATGGGGGCCTATTCAGAAGTCTTGAGCTTCATAGTAGCCCCTGGGATGGAAAGACCCCTAGTCCTAGGGCTATCCTGGCTAAAAAAAATGGAACCCTTGCATGAATTGCAGAAAAGGACTGTCAAAGTTTCAAATAAATTGCTCCTCCTGGGCCTAAGGGAAACTTACAAAGGCGAGAACTCCGAAGCCCGAACTAAAGGCTGTTATGCAAGGGAAGGATCTCCCTTGCATATTCCCTCCAAGGAATACCGAGACCTCAGAGATGTGTTTAGAGAAGAGGGCTCAGATGTACTTCCTCCCCATAGACTAGTGACTGTGCTATAGAAATCCTACCTGGTGCCAAACTGCCAAAGCTATACTTAATGACACCCAGAGAGCTGGAGGAATTGCAATTGTTCATTGATAAAAACCTAGCCCGAAGCTTCATTCAATCAGCATGATCCTAGGTTGCAGCCCAAGTCCTGTTTGGAGAAAAGAAGAATGGAACCCTTCGTCTATATGTAGACTAAAGAGGGCTAAACACAGTGTATGTAGAGAATGTTTACCCACGGCCTCTGATGAAACACATGCTAGCCCACCTGGCCAAGGGCAAAAACTTTACTAAATTGGACTTGCGGGAGACATATTATCATGTAAAGGTCAGAGAGGGGGACAAGTGGAAAACCTTGTTCAATTGCCTGCTGAGTTCACATTCAACTAATCCATAGGTGCAAAGTTGTTATGGGAACCGGAGCTGATAAGGGACGGTTCTCAGGCACTTCACTGGATCTCGCAATGGAGTGGAGATAAGGCAGATGGCCCCTGGCACATTCCTTTCCCTTTTTCACACCCAAAGAGATACATCAAAGTTTAGAGGGAACAAAGTAGAGGAAATACATCCATAAGCCCCCTTCCAACAGAGCAAAGCCTCTCCCCTCCCATTAGAATGGCAGAATCCTAAAAGAAACATTGAAGGGTTTCTGACATGCTGCCCCCTTAAAAAATGAGAAGTCTGCCTGGAGACAGAAAATAATAAAATAGGGATGAAAAAGAGAAAAATACGTTAATCAGGTTTGTCAAGATAATGAACAGGAAAACGTTTGAGCAGTTTGGGGGCTCTAACATATTTCTTATGAACTCATTTGTTTTGGGAGGCTGGGAGATCTTTCCAGGCAAGTTGGTACTGCTTAGCCCCATGATACTTGCGTGAATCTAAGATCTCTTTAATTTCAAAGTGTTGTTCATCTTCTACCATGGTGGATAGAGGTGCAGGGGGAGCTGCTGGCCTTAAAGGCGAGGTTATTTCAGGTTTTAACTGACTGCAGTAGAATGTGGGGTGGATTTGCCTTAAGGGTTTTGGGAGTTCCAATTCCACTATGACAATTATGATGTGTTTTATTGGGAATGGACCCACAAATAATTTCTTCAGTAATGACTGAAGGAACCTAGTAGACAGGTATATACGGTCCCCTACTTTGAACTGTTTAGGTTCCATTCTTTTCTTGTCTGCCTGCACCTTATAAGCTACTCTGGCTTCATCTAAGGCTTTTCTGACTACTGGCCAGGTGTTTTGCAACTGCTTAATCCATTCCTAAAGGAAAGGGATGGTGGGCTCATTATTTGGCAATTTGGGCATGGGGTTGAAAACTTGCCCCGTGGCTACTTGAAAAG